CTCCGTCAGTCACCTGTACTCCTCCTCTGTCCTCGTTGCCAGCCATCCCGTCAACCTCATCCATCAGCAAGCAGTGCTTCTTGCCATTCAAGGGCGACGACGATGACGACGATTTTGCTGATAACGATGATGATTTTGATGACTGACGATGATGACATTTCTTCCTAAAATAGTACACACACACACACACACACACACACACACACACACACACACACACACACACACACACACACACACTCACTCTCTCCCTTTCTCTCTCTCACACGCACACACACACAAACACACACACACAAACATAACTTACTGAAAAACCCGACAAGGGTGTGATTGTTGAGGGCCTCTGAAACTTCCTCTTTGAGACTTTTTTTTGATCTGGTGTCTGACGCGTTCAACTCGAAGTAGGAAAACCCCGCCTCCTAATTACAATAAATATAATTAACATAATTAGAATTATTAGCATAATTATTATTCATTCATTCATCTATTCATCCACCATTCATTTAATGTTAAAGGCCACAGGTTGACCAAACTGGACATCTGACCTGACAGACGACTTGGGCTGTCGTGGTTTTTCCAATACCAGGAGGACCTGAAAGTAGAGCTGCCTTCAAGCCAACACCATCGTCGTTTGATCGGCCAACTGTTTGTTGATTGGTCGGTCGATTGGTTGATTGGTCGATTGGTTGGTTGGTTGATTGGTCGGTCGATTGGTTGATTGGTCGATTGGTTGGTTGGTTGATTGGTCGGTCGATTGGTTGATTGGTCGATTGATTGATTGGTTGATTGATTGGTTGGTTGATTGGGTGGATGATATATTGATTGGTTGAATTAGATAATTGATTGGCAGGCTGTTGCTAACTGGCTGATTGACAAACCGAATAGAGAAGCAAAGAAACAATGGAACAATCAATTAAACGAACAAATTCAAACGTTAACCAACTAAATACAAACACACAGACACACACACACAAACACACAGACACACACAAAACAAACACAAACAAACACACAAACATACAAGCGAATACACGAACATATAGGCTTCTTAGAAGCATTCTTGTGCCAGTTAAGTAGCCACATGTGAAGTTTCTTAGCCTGGCTCTTGTCACCTTGCTGGCCAATGATCTGCTTCATGCTTGCTGGCTTGTACTTGTCAACCCACATTAAATTACTATTATTTTTATTGTTGTTGTTGTTATTATTATTATTGTTATTGTTATTATTATTATTGGTGGTAGTAGTAGTAGTAGTTGCTGCAGCTGAAAGAGCCGATGAAAAACTAGCAATTTTTTGTGACGAGTTAGATGATGATGATGTCACAATTCCTGATGAAGTCGGTATCTTGGCTGGTGGCAATGATGACGATGACGACGATGATGACGTCATTTCAGATGCTGATGATGATGTCTTTGATTGGGGTTTACTCTGCATAGCTTCCTAGAGATATTTAGTTAACAGGAAAAAAATTATTTAAAAAATTGAAACTAATGCCAGAATCTATCATTCATTCATGCATGCACCCATGCATTCATTCATTCATACAATCATTCACTCACTCATTCAATCATTCATTCATTCATTCATTCCCCACACTACCGACTTTCTTCAGATCTTTCTCGGCTTGCACTTCGTATTTTGATTTCTTCCCTGGCAACTTTCCGATGAGCTCCAGCAATCCATCTTCATCAATTTGTTTCGTACCAAGCTCAGTTGCCTGATTGATTTCAATTCAATTCGGTGAATTCAATCAATTAATCAATCAATCAATCAACCAACCAATCAATCAACCAATCAATCAACCAACAAACCAAACAACTTATCACTCATTTAGCCAAATGCGCCAGGTAAATTAACCTTCAACCGACGCAACCAATCAGAAGCAGCCAATCACAACCAGCCGACCAATCACAACCGACCTTGGACAGCTTAGAGGCACCAGCATCCCTCCCCACGACCAGATACTTGGTGTTCCTGCTGACATTCGTCGTCACCTTCCCACCGTACTTCTCAATCAACGACTTCATCTCATCCCTATCGATGCTTTCATAGACGCCAGTTAGGACGAACACCAAGCCCTCCATACAATTTTCCTTCCCCTCGTGTCGCATAATTATAATTATTATAAGTAATTATAATTATTAACGCATAACTATTATATTATAAATAATAATAATTTACAATTATAAGTAATAAATATTAATAATTATCAGGAGTAATGAATAACACCTCGGGAATTGCCTTAGAGCCGAGGGCTCTGGGTGGCTCTCTATTTTTGAACGCCAGGTACGATGACCTCCTCTTGTCGCCGCTCTTTGCAAGGGACTGCCGTGATTGGTCGGTTGATTTGGATCAACAACAACAACAATAATAAAAACAACAACAACAACAATAATAACAACAACAACAACAATAATAACAATAAAAATAATAATAATGACCTCATCCAGATCTATAGAGGACTTGTTAGGAGTTCGGTTGCTAACAAAGCTGCTTTTATTTTTGCCTTCATCAACCCCCTCTACATCATCATCATCATCATTCATTATGACGTAATCATTATCATTGTTCCCGCTTTTATTATTGATATTATTATGATTATTCTTATTATTGCTATTCTTATTGCTATGCTGTTCTACCATCGAGTCGAGACGCTGTTTCTTTGGGTCCGGTGTGTCTTCAGCAAAGAATTTTTTCTGGAATAATAGTAATAATAACAATAACAATAATAATAATGAAAGATGATAATAATAATTAGAACGCACCTTTAAATTATTATTATTATGATTTTTAACTTTCTCTCTATCATCATCCACACTCATTTTCTTCTTCTTCAAACTATCTGAGAGCTTTTCGGCCAGACATTTTGCAGCTGTAATGACGATGATGACGACGACGATGATGGTGATGACGTTGTCAGATTGGATATTATTACGATGAAGAAGATGATGATTTGAATGAATGTGATGAAATAATAATGAAAAAAAACACAACAGAAACCTCTAGAGTTTTCGTTATAGTCATTAGCTTCATCAGCATCAAATATGTTATCAGCGACATTACTTCCACTATCATTGGCCTGGATGAAAGAATGAATGGATAGATGGATGGACAAACTTATGAAATGTATGTATGTGTGTGTGTGTGTGTGTGTGTGTGTGTGTGTGTGTGTGTGTGTGTGTGTATGTATGTATGTATGTATGTATGTATGTATGTATGTATGTATGTATGTATGTAAGTATGTATGTATGTATGATGTATGTATGTATGCAAGATGTAAAATAATCTGTACTTAAAATTCAAACCTTGTTCATAAAATGTTCACTGCGTTGAACAGGTGAACAACCAAAGAACTCAGAAACACTGATCTGTTTCCTGTCATGCTTTTCCTCTGCCTTTTTCTCAATGCTCTTTGAGGTATTCGGCGTCTTTGGTAAAACTCGTGTGAATGCCTCTTTGATTGGATTTCTGTCTGGAGGTGAAGGTTAAAATGGGGCTGTATAATATTTACAACAGTAATAATAAATAATTATTATAATAAATAAAAATCATAATAAATAATCATAATAAATAATAATAATAATAAAAACCTACCAGGTGAATGATTCGTGTTTATTCTTCTCCTCTTCTTCTTCTTCTCCTCAGATGGATCCCTCATAGATTTTGGTAATGGGTCCTCGTCCTCATCATCATCATCATCTTTAGAATGATAATAATAATAAACAATAATAATAACAATAATGATAATAATAACAACAATAGTAAGAACGGTCTTTCTAGCAATGTGAATTTTTTTTTAGAAACTTATGCAAAACATTGGGAAGGAAATTATCAAAGAAAAAAGGATGGAATAAATTATGATGATACTATACCCTTTGAATAAATTATTTTCCGATAATTAGCATCTAATTAGCATAAATTAATATTCATGAGTAGCAATGGTAAAAGCCTATACGGACCAGAACTGATGACGTTTATATGGTAATTTACATTTTTTTTCATTTTTTTTGATGGCGTAAAATCATCTTCCTCCTCTTCATCAACAACATCTGGCTATATTAATAATAATAATAATAATAATTATTATTATTATAATCATGAAAATTATGATAATAATGATGGTGATGATGATGATGAACAAAGACCAATTATTATTTATTTGCAACAATAATTAATATGATAATAAAGATCAATATAATAATTATTATTATTATCATCATCATCATCCTCATCTGATTATCACCATCATCATAAAATCTAGCCCAAAATCATTTCAACCGACACTAACTAATTTTCTTTTAGACCCAACATTAGAAACTTTTCTGCTCTCCGCGACCTTTGACCTTTTTGTTGAACTTTCGTCATTAGCCTTGACCTTGTCATCTGTACTGGCCTTGAACTTCTTATCACCCTCTTTCAACTTCGCCTCCGTTTTGTTATTATTATTAATCTTACTACTGTTGTTGTCATTTGCATTGTCCTCTCTGATTTTGGCATTGTCAGTTTTACTAGAAAGTGCTTTCACATGTTTTGATGAGGTTTTTGAAGTTTGGTTAAGGTTAGGCTCATCAACCATCAATGATGATGATGATGGTGGCTTCATTTTTTTATTCTCATCGTCACCATCATCAAATTTTTTAGATTTTTTCATTTTATTCTCATTTTCTAGTAACAAAGATGACGTCGTCTTCTTCTTTTTAATCTCTTTGAATTGGACTTCTTCGTCTACGGCTGACGTTTGAGGCTTAGAGATATTTCCATTTTTCTGTCTTTCAACTTCCTTTTGTTTTACAATCTTTCTATCACCAGCTTTATTATTGTTCTTATTATTAATGTCATTGTTATTTTTATTATTATTTGTACTAGAGCTGCCTTTGTGGGGATGATGTTGATCAGATGACCTTGTACTTTTTGGCAAAGTCAACTTGCCTGTGCCAAAAAAATTTCTTATGTCCTGAACGGATTAAAATTTACTAGGTAAATAATTTTAAAATTGTTTGTGGGTCCCATTATGATTTATTTACAAATTATAATAATCAAATGATCGAAATACATTTTATAAATTTTAATCATTTTCTTAGTTTAATTAAATTAATTTAATAATGTAATAACAAAGAATTTATTTGACTATTTGTGATTTAAATTGAATGAATAACAGGTCAATTATGAGATTCAAACAAAGAAAATTGTCATTCAAATCCATCCATCACACTTTTACCTTACTAATTTAATTATTAATTAAATTTATAATTATTATGAAATATTAATTTGACCTTTTTAAAATGAAAAATAAATGTCAAACGCCAGTACTCCTCAAAGCTTTAATTAAAAGAACAGACATCTCCGACAAATTTAATAATTTTATTTTCATAATAAATTCATTTTTTTATTTTAAAAACGAAATGTGATGTCACATGGTCAGTCAGTGGTCAGTCAGTAGTCAGTCTCACAGTCCACAATCGCATTTCAATTCAAATAGATTTGTCTTAAAAAAAATGAAATGAGAAAATTTAAACCATATTGTAGCATCCAGAACCAAAGATTCTTCTCTCTAAAATTAATATTTCTCAAATTTAATTTAATATTTATTAATTTAATATTTATTAAATTAAATATAGAAAACAAATAAACTGCACTCTACGCGGCATTTATAATTTGACGGTTTAAAAGTTATTTGTTTAAAAGCGGACTGATTTAAAAAAAAAGAATAAATGGCTTTATTTAGAATTTTACAAGATTTACTGTTGGTCATTATATACTTTATTCTTCTACATAACTTTGTGGAATTAAATCCATTTTCTTTCCAAAGTCAACTTTATGTTTGGGGTTCAATTCTTCAACGATACACGTTCCTCAATAGCTTATCCTCAATACCTTATCTTTGAGGAGATCTCTACGTGCTTTATGACGTCATTATCCGTAGTAGAGGAATTAATTCTATGTTCTTGAGACTCATATTTCCGATAAACATAGACGATTTCTCACTCATTCATAATTTTGTTAAAAACTTTACATTTATATCAAATTGAAATTTTAATTTCAGTGTATAAACACGATAAATCATTCAGTTTGTCATCCTTCTTTCCATTAACCTTTCACGTTTTCTCCATCCATTCCTTATTCTGAATACTTCATATTAGACTTGACACCTTTTCTAACAGTGTGCCTACCCTATTAAGTTCATTTTACTAAGTATTTTTACTTAAAATGATTTCGTTAGAAAAGCATTTAAGCCAGCTTTTACATCGGTTACACGCTTTTAAATTACATTGGTTACATCAATTACATAATTTTGCAATGGCTACATGATTACACGTTAACAGTTTTTACATTGCTTATATATTTTTTACAATAATTACATGGCTTTACACATTAACTACAGGTCTTTACACTGGTTAAATATTAAAATAAAAACACACACACACACTCAGACAGACTACATGGGCTGGACTGAAGAGTGTATTTCTTAAAATAATAACGTCGTAATCGTAACAGCCATTTATTTTTTTTTTTTGTTTCAATTTATTATTTATTGATTCACATTTGAATAAAATTTGCACTCGTGTTGATGCTAGTAAGACGCCCCATGTATGTATTAATAGCAGACATAGGTATCTATCTATTTCTCTATCTATTTCAATCTATAGATACCTATTTCTCTTTCGATCAGCCTGAGTTATCACAACGAACTTATAAAGATTTGAGATCTCTAGGGTTGAATTTTTTCGTATCGCCGAGAAATATACGAATTTTCGAATGTTATTAACATTCTAGTAAACAACATTTCAACTCTGTCAAATTAATTTATTGATAAAAGACTCTTTTGTAGCATTGAATTAGCTAAAATAATTAATTCTACAACTTTTGACGCAAAGTTAACTGATACCATTATGGAAAAAATGAATAAAATAAAAAAATTGCTTGTGTTATGGATCTGCCTGCACTCTATAATGATGGAGACTGAACAGTTGAAATGTTTAAAAACCGGCGAACAAGAAGAATCATGTGCTAATGGGATCAAGGATTGCTTTATTAGCAGTTTCAACAACAGAGGTAAATGTATATATTTTAATTATTCATTCATTCATTCATTCGTTCATCTGCCCATCCATTTATTTACTTTAACAAATAATCGACCACCAAAAACTTTTCCGACGAAAGATTTCGTGCAAGGTTGCGGCAAAGGCGATGGTTTACTCACGTGTCAGACCGACAGATGCAACACTGAAGAGATGGCGAACGGTTTCATAAACCTAATGAACCAACAACTAGCCGAAAAAGAAATGGCCCGTCGAGGAGCCATACATGTTCGAAAAAATCCAACAAATTGAAAAAATATCTATTTATATGCGTGATTATTTATTCGTTCACTTATTTATTGAACTATTTCGTTGGAGGAGTGAGGTACTTTGTTGAAAACGTTTGACCTGTCTGTCGTAAACACAAAATTAACTTTCGTACGTGACTAGAATGAAATCGTAATCCTGAAAGTTAAAAAATTTTGCGAATTAATTTAATTAAATCATCAACAAGTGAACTGTTTTCTGTTATTGTTAGAAAAATAATGAAAATAGAATAATACAAAGATAATATTAATATGAATAAATAGCTATAAAGAATATAGGTATGTATATGGTATGTGGTGAATGTTATTCAGTACAATGTTACTCAATCAAATAAGCACACCACGCATTAACTTTTCAAGGCGTGATTAGACTTAACAAATTTTTTTTTCACTCCAACTCATGTTTTGGCGTGATAGATGAAAAAATCTTTTAAAATAATTAATAAATTAAATTGTAGCCATAGGTTCTATACTTAAAAATTTGGATACATGTATGCGTGTATGATGGTTAATGATTAGCAATGGTGTAAACCATGACAATTTGAAAATCATTTTCATAACATGGGCAATGTTGTTTAAATGATGGACGAAAACATTTATTCATCTATAAAATATAGATCGTATATACGCAAATGAAAACAATACAAACCAAATAAAACCAGATAAGAAAATGCTCAAAAAACCCACTATACTACAAAAACCGCCAAAAAACGAAAAAATAGTTGAAGAAAAAAAAACAAATAGTGACCTAAAAAAAAATTAGGAATTCAGACTGATATCGAAATAGAGTTTCAACTTCTCACAGACGTCAACAGCAGTTACGTCGTCGATGCACTGAAATACATAGCAATCGCATATCAGTTGATCATGGCTGCCCACTTTGAATACTAAGTTGCTTTTGTCATTTGGGTCGTTGTAGTACACTATCTGGAGTTCATTAATTTTATATTTATAACCATATTAATTTTATATTGTCAAAATACTATTTATTTTAAATTTGAATGTATGATATACTTTTTATTTATAGCATAAATACCTTTTATATGATATTAATTAATTAGCTAAATGATATTTTAGAAAAGTAAGGTTTAATAAAATAGCATTGACTTGAGCAATGGCATGCAATGGAAACCTATGAATGACCACCTCCCCAGACCTATCCTTGACGACGATACCATTTATGGAAACTTTAAAATTGATCAGATCAGATTGCTTGGGATTGATGACGAGTTTGTTGTTCAGTTGGGCTTCCTCCACTCTGTCTATCAGCTGAATGTCTTTATCCCTGTCCCCATTTTGCTGCTGTAGGCTGATTTTTTCCAGTTTACCTAAGCTGTACATTGGCACATCTCTGGAAGTGTTACTGGTAGTTGTTTTTTAGTATTTAGTTAGTTATAAGTTAGTTAGTCATGGTTCAATGCATTTATTTTTATTTATAATGAATAATTAATTGATTATCATTATTTATTAAATTATAATATAATTATTGTATTATATTTCTATTATATTTTTTATTAATTACATAAGTATTATACATTAGTACTTAAGGTAACGGTTAGCGTTGTTAGTTATTATTACTTATTAGTTAAGTATTACAATTACAGACAGTTAAGTTAATAGTTTTAATTCATTAGCCTAGCGTTGGTTTTCTAACAAGGAATCCAATTCAACATTATATGTAACATTTTTAAAACACCGAACCACATCTTATTAATCATAATATCGTAAAATAATAACAAAGAAAAGCAAACCAAATTAGAATTTTGTCACTAAAATGAACTTACTCAGACATTTTTTATGAATGTTGTTTTTTGAAAAGTTAATTTCATTATCAACGCCTAACATAAGAGTTAATGGAACAGAATTGACAGCATTTTGGTGATTTTTTTAGTCAGGAACAAATTTTGTAATTTTAAAATTATTTTAAATAAAACTTTGATTAACACAGTTTTATCAAAAATATAAAACACTTGGTATTCATTTGCGTAAGAAAGTTACTAATTTATAATTACTTAGGTTAACTTTTAAATTACGTAGCGTAACCTATGTCGTTAACGATTGAATTGAAATAACTGTCAGACTCGCCATATGTCGGCTGAGCTTAAATTCTGAAAAATGAAATTAGTATTAATTTTTTTAGTTTTTATTTTCTTATTTGTTATCTCTGCTGGAAGTAAGTGTCGCAATATAGATTTTTCCCAGTTTGATCCCTGCCAGTTTCCGACCCAGTTGATTTTTCCTGGCTATGGGGAATGTGGGGTAGAATTGAAAAGTGTTGAGCTGGCTGCCAGTCAGCCTCCTGTCAAGTTTAATGATGCCGATGTTTGTAAATTTTAAATCTTCCTACTTAAATTTATTACTATTTGAAGTATAATTGTTATGTTATAATATAATAATAATAATATATTTCTATGTATATATAATTATTTATTAATTAAATTTTTTTTAAAAAGAATAATAGAAAGTATATTTTGGTGATGGTGGACCCAGATGCACCATCTGCCAACCGACCGTCAAAAAGATTTTGGAGACATTGGCTCCTGTCTGATATTCATGCATGTTTATTATTGTCTGTATTTTTAAAATTTTTCTTCTTTTATTAACTTCAGTTTCTATTATTTAAAATTTTTTAAGTTTTGATTTATTTATACTATTCACACAAACGCACGCACACACACACACACACACACACAGGGAAGTGAATTGCTATCTGGATCAATGTTAACAGGAAGTGTGTTAACAGGTATGATAATTTTTAAAGAAAAAATTGCAACAAATTTTTATAATTTTACATTTAAACATTTAATATTCTGTAAGACAGCAATTTTAACCATTTCATGATTCATTGAGTTTAAGAATTGTAACTACTACTACAGCTACTACTGCTGCTATTACTACTGCTACAGTTACTACAACTGCAACTGCTTCTATTACTACTACAAGTTATAATAAAAATTATGACAAAGATAAGAATAATTATTGTAAAATTATACTTTGATCAGCATACCAGGGCCCAATGCCGCCAGAGAGATCCGGCCTGCACAGGTATCAATTCTTCCTCTTCAGACAGCCATCCACATTCAAGGATAGGTTTGAAGTGAAGGAAGAGGATTGGGATGCTGTGGGAAGAGAAAGATGGGATCTAGATGAGTTTGTAGTGAAGTATGATTTGTGTGGACTGCTGGCGGCCTCCTATCAGTACTCAGCGTCCAGGAATTAATTTTTGTTGTCGGTTGACACTTCGGAACAAAAATTATTGCGTTACTGACCAACCAAAGCCAGTCATTTAATTTTTTTTTTCAAATTTTCCTTTGTACTATTGTTGGGGTTGTTTTGGTTTACAAATGTCTAAATCATATGAATTGCATTTATAAAAGCACTGCTGACAAAAATCTCTTTATTGTTGGAAAGATTTGGTGATTTTTGATTTTGGTGATCTTTTTTTCGTTAATTTTCCAAAAATTTTATTATTCACGATTTCGTTTCATAATGGTTATTCTCTCTTTTTTTAAAATGAACGAACGTTTCTGAATAAATTTCAAGTTACTTCAAATCGTTCATTGTTTGCTTTTTTAACAGTTTTGTTTTATTAGTTTCAATATTCAATAAAAATTGATACAGGATAATTTATTTAAATCGGTCAAAACTTTCAAAAATTTAAAATCAACTGTCTAAACAGTAGATGTTAATTTCAGAATTTACCAAGAATTTAATAATTTATTTAATTTTTGTAATATAAAGTTTAAAAAGCTTCAAAGTTTAGCTGTCGATTTTATTTCCTTCTTCAAAAGTTTTCAGGAATGTCATTTAATAAATTTATTCTATTAAAAAAGAAAATGCAAGTTATATTATCCGCTCTAGATCAATTTGAAAAAAAATTTGATGGGCTAATTTTTTTCGCGTTCTGCAAGGTTTTGCAGCATTAATACTACCACATAAAATAAAATAACGACAATTTTATCATATGTAAAAACATTAGATGATCATGTTTGGCATAGAATAAGTTTCAAGCATAGCGTTTCAGATTACAAAAGGTTCTGTCTCTTTCGATCTTTAAACCTTTCAATGAAAAAATTGTTTGTCAATTTTTATGAAATAAATAAATTATCAGATAATATAAATTAGTAATGCATTAACTTAATAAGTTTTACGGTTACGGTTATGACAAAACTGCTACTGCTGCTACTACTACTGCTGCTGCTACTACTACTATTACTAATACTACTACCGCTACTACTATTACCATTACAATTACTACACAACTTCTTACTACTAATAATAATAATAATAACAACAATACAAATAATATAAATATAATTATAATTTATGAAGTATTTTGCAAAATAGAGGAAAAATAATGTCAACCGGATTATTCCTCTTCGAGGAGTGCTAGAAACATTTTCAGGAAGGCTTCTACGAACTCATCCTTGCTCACCTTCTTGTCGCCGTCAAAGTCAAACACTTGAAGAAATTCCTATTTCAAATTTTTTTTAAATTATAGTTAATCAAAAGTTTTAGAAAAAATAAATAAAAATCATTTTTTTAATAATTCTCTTGTCGGTATATCTTATAGGTCAGCGACAGGTCTCAGCAACCATGATTACAGCGTGTGAATAGATACACGTGAATCAACGCATCCCACACACCCACATTGGATGTGATAAATAGGTGGGGATTTATTTGCAGAGAGAGAGAGAGAGAGAGAGAGAAAGAGAGAGAGAGAGAGATGAAAATATTTGTAACCTTACCTCTCTCTGCTCGTTTAGATTTTTAACTTTGCATTTGTCATTCTCGGCCAGGCTGGAGACCATCTTGTCAATTTCATCGTGAGTGAGGTAACCGCTCTTGTCCAGGTCGAACTCGTCAAACGTCTCTGAGATGACTTGCACTAATTCAACTTCTATTTCTGACATTTTTCAAAACTTCTTCTGCTGCTGCTGATTGGTAATGTTAAAATTATTTTTAAAAAAAGTTCTTTAATAGATCAACATACGAACAAAACACACGCGCACACACATCACACACACGCACCACACACAGACACCGCACATAATCAAATTTTTGTATCTGATATGTTGGGACCTCTTTGAAATCAAACCCGGATACAGAAACATCAGAACAAATCGACAATCAAAAGACAAACAGCAACAAGTGTAAGTGGATTACTCCTTATTAAGGATACAATTTTCGTGATGGGATGTTGCAATTATCTTCAAGAAATAATGCTCCAGCATCTTACATACAGGCTGTACGGTATATTTGATGAAGTTTATTCTTACATACTTATAATATTTGAGGAAAAAACAAGCAAATAATATCTATAGATCTAGTTTTGCTTGAAACTTTTAGTCAAAATGTTTTAGCGAATATTTGAAAATTCGTATCTCTTCATCATACATTATTTGATTATGCTGATTAGTTGAGATTTGGTGCTTGCCTAGACTTGTGCAAATTCGCGTTTTCAAATTTTTTTCCAATCACAATATTCATCTTCGAGGTTTCAAATTTTTAAACATTTCTTACTGAAAAACTTTTAAAATGTTTCATTGAATTAAAAACACTTCTAGGTAAGAAATTAAGGTAACGGTGTGTGGTGTGTGTGTGTGTGTGTGTGTGTTTACGTTTTGCTTATGCTATGTTAATGTATGCATCTTCAATAGAGCATGTCTACCACGTAGCTATAAATAACTCTGCTTTGGAAGAGATAAAAATGTAGATGCTGATATAACCATCACTACTCTCCGCACACACGCACACACATACACACACATACACATACATACACACACACACACACACATACAAACACACATACATCATTGCTGGCTGCTCGAAAATATCCGATCAATAACGAGTGTATAATTGAAAATTGATTCTCAGTAAGAGGACAATGCATGAATGTTAAACCCAGAAAGCAGGTGATTGAGAAGATATCATAAGATTAAAAAAAATTATTAGTATCAATCTATGTATCTATAATTTTAATAACGATCATAATAATAATAAGCCAGAATAAAAACATTATTATTATTATAACTGGGAGAGGAGGTTTAGGCCAGGATGGCACGCACCTCAGAGTTTAAGGGGTACCAATTACAGATTTGGAAGGGTGTTTTTTAGATCATCACAAAATTTTTTTGAGAAATTATACCTCTACAATCCTTCCTACAATCCGTGATTGTGATTAAACATTTTAAAAAATTTTTACTCTGGAATGAATGGCTTGAATTTATCATTTGGTTTGTGCTATAAAAAAAAAGCACCAGCCAATGAACACGACAACAAAAACATTGAGATTTTTATCTAGATTTTAATCTAAAATAATTTTATTTCATTAAAAAAAACCATTTTATTTTATTTGAAAATCATTCTACTCTATTTAAAAATCACTCTACAATGCTAAGATTTTAACAAGGAAATCTTTAAATTTTCAACATTTTGTCAACTTTAAAATACGCCAACTAACTAACTATACGTTCAAATTTTAAATAATCGCATTGTTCACTAAATTAAGTGTCACAATTGCATCACTTTATTCTACTAGGAGCAAATTTTTAAGCGTTTGAAGTACCAAATCTTGGATGATTGATAAGTTGTAATCAGTGGCGGATCTAGAAAACTTTGATCGGTGGTCAAAATTTTCAAAATGATGAACAATTTTTGAAATTTTACAAGGTCGGAGGCAACGAATTAACCAAATGTTTGCTAGTGTGGTCATAATTCCGCTTGTGACCTTTATAACCGATTCTACATCAAATTTGTAATTATAAAAAATATTTATCAACAAAAAAATTTTTTTAGTAGCTTTTAACGTCATTACAGGCTTATTAACTCAGAAATACGAACATTTCAGTTGAAATTAAACCAAAACTCTGGCAACAAAATGTCTGAATATTAACATTTTTTTATTAAAATCTAAAAACAAAACACGAAAAAAAATGATGATGACTCACCGGACAACAAAAAGGCGAGAAAAAGGGTCGGTACGAAAGTGACTTATTCCAAAATAGATAACAAGTGCGATGCATGCATGTTTATATATACTCACACATACACAAATACATACACACATACATACACACATACATACACACATACATACATACACACATACATACACACATACATACATACATACATACACACACACATACATACATACATACATACATACATACATACATACATACATACATACATACATACATACATACATACATACATACATACTTACTTACTTACATACATACATACATACATACACACACACACACACACACACACATACATACATACATACATACATACATACATGCGTTTTTAATTTATTTTTATGACGGATGTAATTTACGTAGCTTAGACAGACAGCAAAGTATCCTACGCAATCGTTCTAACTTAAGGGGTGAGCAAACTTTTTGCTGTGAGGGCCGCATTGAGAACTGTTTTAACATTGAAAGGCCGCATTTGTACTTAAATACCAAACTTTTTCGACTCGATGGAGAATCATTTTATTGTGGTACTATTTTTTTGGCCATAATGTCTGGCTGATGACCTTTTTCAACTTGGTGAACAAGGCCTCGTGGACCGCATAAAATAGATTGGCGGGCCGCGGTTAGTTTGCCACTCCCCCCCCCCCCTCCTGTTCTGACTGTCAC